AGCAGAAAATTTGGTCTCTTTTATATTGATAATTTTATTGTAACAGAACGAAAAAGAATGTGAGCAGCCTTGGTCAATACGGCGGCATTTATACAACTGAAAATAATTTATAATTTATTACAACTCTTTATTCTCATCTTCACCTAGATAACAATATTTGTAACTTAACAGATGAGACTTAAAATGTCCCGAAATTTAAATATGCGGAACTCCGAATCCACTGCTCCTTTTGAGTTAAGTAAAATAGTAAGTATGTCGTCAACTAAGTGTTTTACTTCTTTTACTTTGGAGGAGAAAATATGTTCTTTCTATTTTGTTTTCATAGCCCCCCCCCAAAAGCATTTTATTACTTCCTTATACGAAGTAAAGGAAGTATTGTAATTGCGAACAATTTCGGGTATCACATTTCAATGGAAATATTTATTTTGACCGTTCCCGAATCCATTTGGAAAGTTTCTTTTTTTTCACGTGATGGAAGTACATACGGACAGAATAAAAGACTCTTTTTCCAAAACGAATTCTAAAATGGATTCAGAAGGGAGTTTTTCGTCACGTCTGTATGAACGTATGCATGTGTATGTAGGTACCTCGCAGAACTCAAAAAAGATTAGTTGTAGAACGCGGGACTGCTTTAATATATAGCTCTGCACCTCCCTTTTTTATGGCAATCGGCAGTACCGAATGTCTTTCTCTATACATATGATCGCCCCCTTACTTTGTCTAAAAGCCCTTACCCGGCTTTATTTACACAATCATTATCATAATCATATACACTGAAGAGCCAAAACATTATGACCACCCATTCAGTAATGCGTTGCGCGACTTTTGGCTTGCAAAAACTCGCTGCAACTCGCCTTGGCATGGATGTCACAAGTTCTTTCTAGATGACTGGAGATAGATAGTACCAAACGTTTAAGTAGCGGTCAGGCAAAGTCGAGATATTCTGACATGTGGTGTTTGAGCTGCCACTCCATGACATCCCAAATGTGCTCTATCGAGTTAAGATCCGGCGAGTTAGGCGGGCAGAGATTAATCGGATTTCATCCTTATGTTCCTCGAACGACTCCAACACAGTTCGAGCTTGGTGACATACGGGGTTCCCCTGCTTAAAGACTCCGCCTGCATTTCGGAAGACAGGCGCCATGTCAAGGTGCAACTGATCCACAGTTATGTTCAGATTGTCGCACCTTTCAAGGTCTGTTCTATTACAACTAAGGGTCCCAGAGCCGCCCATGAGAACGTCCCCCAAAGCAGAATGCCGCAACCACCTGCAGTGGAGGAGGGGAGTAACAGTTCGCTTAAAAGACGCGATACCATGACACGACCATCGAAGTGATGAATGAGAAATCGTGATTCATGCGCCAGTAACTATCTTCCACTTATCAATGGTCCAGTCTCGATGTTTCAGGGCCCACTGTAGATGTAGTTGACAATGATAGTTCGCCAAAAGAGGCACACGAGTGGGATGTCTGCTGTGCAGTCCCATATCCAACAGTGTACGTTGACCTGTTTGCACTTGCACTGTATTGCACTGTCAGTTGAGCTACTATCTGGCGCCAGTTTTGCTGTACCAAGCTGCGACAATCCCTGACGCCCTATTTCTTTGATGACGCGTCGACGTCCAACGTCTTGGCGTCTATTTCTGATTTCACTGTCATTTATCCACTTTACATAAATACTAACAACCGCCGATCGTGAAAAACAGTTTCGAAGATACTCGTTCCGAGTGTCCAGGCCCTTTATCAAATTCGCTTAGATCAGCAGCCTTTCCCATTACTAGCAAAAGAAAGTGAAAGAATAATTCCTTACCTTCTCCAGCAGCAGTTAAATACCATTCCCACTTAATCACGCTGTAGCGACATTAGGTTATTTCGAAGCAGTAGAGATGAAAAATGAGCAACGCCTTCGCAGGGAATCGAACCACGGACCTCTGGAATACGCGCCCAGCGTGCAGACCACCACACCACGAAAGCATGCCAAGGAGGCGGGGAAAAAAACTTTATATACTCTCTCTTTTAAAGGGCGACTGGGGTTTTTAGGGGACGAATCGCCAAATCCTGGGTGTGGAGAATCAACATCCACCACAATTTTAGTTTGGGCACCACTGTAGAGACATTAGATATTTTTTTGGAAGCAGGAGAAAGTGAAATGAGCAACGTCTTCGACGGGAATCGAACCGCGAACCTCTGGATTACGCGCCCAGCGTGCAGACCACTACACCACGAAGGCACCAAGAAGGCAAGAGAAATACATTATAACGTGCCTTCTACGTCATCCAGACGAGTTCATTGAAAAATGTGGGAATTCTCATAATTTTTGGTTCGTCAGTGTACTTTCCAATTACAAAAGTGCTTTAAATGATGAAAATATTCATATTTTTGAATTAATCAAATTAAAAATATCAGTTTCCACAAATAGCAAAATATAACTTTTAATGCGACCTCCCGGTTCTTATATCTGAGAAAGTTTTACACTCGCCATGAAGAAATAAAATGATAGGAAATTTGACTTCCGTACCACAAAAATTGACCGGGATTTCAAAATTTCAAATAATTTCAAAATTTGAAATTTTCAACTTGTCTTGAGGGATCGATTAATGAAATTCGAATAATTCGAGGAAATAAGTTTAAATGAAGTGCAGCAACATATATGTGTAATTTAATAGGCCTTATAAGGAAGTCATCTGGTGTCCAGATCAGAACATTTTTTTCATTTTGTATTCTGACTATATATAGTTGTCTTTCACTTTGCATCGACTTAAATATTTAGGTATCGGAATGCATTTTTTCCTCTACAAGTAAAAAAATCTGTGGCTATAGTTAGACAAAATATTTCGAGTCTTACAAAACTGCTATTCTTTTACTAAGGCATTACTATGGTTTTTTTCATGATTCAAAATGAGGGATTAATAGCTATTAGAGGTGAAGAAGAAGAGTAGAAAAATATTCTTCTTCTTTATTATGACACCTTGTCTTGTAAACGGTCATGTAAATAAACGTGTAATTTTTAAGTAACACGATGTTTATTTAAAATGCTTTGAAGTTCGCAAAGAAATGCTATTTTCTACAGATTTGGAAGGAGGTATATTTAAGTGTCCACAGTCCAGTATTTTTATCTTTGTCACGTTGCATTATGTAACGTCATATAGTGCTTTAAATTACATAATATATTAAATTTTATTCTATTTGGATCATTTACATGACATTTCAATTAGCAAAATTATTAACATAGTTTTTAAAAATACAAGAAACATAATAAGGAATTATCTCTTTCCCCACTAAATTAACGATCCTGTAGTGTAATTAATAACACGTCTGGCTAGGAATTAAAAAATCCAGATTTCGAATGCCGTTGTGGGCATAGCAGATTTTTCTTACTTCCTGCTTCGGTTTTCAAGGTAATATTACAAAGCACTGAATTCTATTAAGAAATCATGACAAACGGAAAAGGGAGGACATTTTAAGGGAAGGCGGATCCTTTTATGAAAAGTTTTCCAAAGGAAATCGACTCGTATTTACATTACTTATGAAACAAACCACGGAAACTCCATGTAGCTCAACCACCAAGCACAGATCATATGATGAACAACATGAAGTTATCCACCATATGAAGTGCGAATGCGCGAGATCACCTAAACACATACAGAAAGCTGTCAGACAGGAAAGGGAATGTCTCAGGGGTTTCAAGAACGCGCTTTTGGAAATAGGTTTAGCGAACTGTACACTTCTTTGGCTTTTCTAACAGATAAAAATTAATTCGTTCCTTCCTTTATTTTCTGTTCCTTAATAATAATATAAAATAAAGAGAAAAACTAAAATACATGAAAAGACCTCAACAGGGACCATCAGACTTCGTACCTATTTTTATTAAGGCATCAGATTTTAAAGGTTCACCAAACCGTATTTTTATTCTTCATAGCTCTGATTTTTTTTTCTCATAAAATACGAAAAGTAGGCGCTCCAAATAACGAAAGAAAACTGCGCTCCAAGGCCTGAATGCGTTTTAATCAGGTCCTATCATATTGATGGCATTTCAAGGTAATATTAGATCGCTTACCCTTTTAAAGAAATGAGAATCATTTAAGAAACGAATTTAAAATTAAGAAGCAAAATGAGACAAATTTATTAACAGGTGTTGTTAATTTAAAGTAGATTATTATTGCTATCTCGTTTAAAAAAGAATACTTTCGTGGAAGATTTTTAAGAGAAGTGGTTTTATATCACACACAGACAAACAGCCATTAGGTTACCGGAAAACTGGAACCCGAGGTGTTTCCCCGTGTTTGTTATTTTATCCGCAGGACCTCGACTGTCCATGGACTATTCACGATGGCAATTTTATCATTAATTAAAATATGAATACATCTTATAAGTAAATTTTAGTACATTTCATTTTGAAATAATTCATCAGTTATTGGTATCCCGAGATTTTGGTTATATTTAAAATAATTTTGAAAAAATTCTGAAATTTTGCGGAAGCCTATGTACGAATATAAAGAACCTGAATACCGAATATCTTTTTTTTTCTTTTGCAACAAGAACGCACAAAGGAAAAAAAATATTGCTCTCAAGTTTTAAACTTATTCTGCTAGCCTAAAAATAAAAATTATTGTCATCTAGCTCTCAGAACATGCAAAAACAGATAAATAAATAAGCCCACATTTTCTCACTCACCGCATTCTATTAAGATTTAGAAATCCAAAAGTAACATTTCAGCTTGAAAATAAAACTTCGATAAATAACAACAAATCTTATTCTGTATTTAATAATAAAATTAAATAAATTAATATACATACTCGTATTTATTATTTATTTTTTTATAGAATAATAATAAGAGTAAATAAGCAAAATAGAAACCTCGCACCTCGCATAAATACACAAGTGTCAAAAAATTCTATTTCTATGAAAATATTTCTACAGCATAATAAAAGGACTTCAACATCGACTTTACCCGGGTAATTTGATTAAAATTCATTAAGGAAATAAATAAATATTACGTACCTCGAGCTAGAACATGAAATGAGAACTCTCTCCTAATATATAAAAGAAAGACACAAACAGTAGTCTAGTCTCAGGATCGCAACTGTCTCAAAACACCGAAATCACCGTCTCTTTAACGCGAATTACCGCAGACGGCGGAATAATTTAAGCCAGAAATGAAAGAATGATGAGGGTGAAACGGTAACTGAAATGATGAACGGATGCTTCTTCGCACAGCTCGGAGGCAGGGTTGTTGTAATCCGAAGCTTCGCCAAGTCTCATTGAGAGAAAAGTTGCCAAATGGGTGTTTACTGACCTGAGTTTTGCCTCTGTGTTTTAAGTGTTATTTAGATTTCGTCACACATTGCGGAATTGACAGATGTCTAAATAAGACAGTAAGGCCCGTAATGAGACCTAGCTACGATATAGACAAATATTAATTAAAATAATTAAAATTAAAAAAGAAAGTCCAAAATGGCGTTTTTTTTAACGTTTTGTGTGTTACCTTTATTTATTAAATATCATGTTCTTCGCAATTAAACCAAAAAATTCAATTTAACAGCAATATCGCAAAATAATTTTTAAATGAGCATGAATTTAGAATTTCCGATACAGAGTCTCGCACGCTGGAGATATTTTTTTTTTTTTTTTTTTTTCGCGCAGTGTTGCCATTGCTCGCTTTGAAATCATTTAGTTTGTCAGTCAAAAATTCGTTGAATTGTTACAAAATACGAAATCGAAAATAAAACAAATTTCAAATTTAAATTAGGGCTTCCACATGCCCATATTCTATGGAAGATTACGTTATTCAAATGTTGATGGCTCTAGGTACCGTTTTTTTATCATTAACATTACTAGAAACATACATACATTCATGCAGTTTCTTCATTATTTAATTTCTTTAAATGCAATACAGGGCGATAATATTTGGTGGCATCAATTTGAAAAGCGAAACAATGCTTATCGTGATTCAATGCAAAATGCCAAAACGAAATTAATATTCCTTCTGGTTAAATTGCCCCTTTGGACTAATAAATAAATGTTTTTTTTAATAGCTTTAATAATGTAGAAAATTAATGTTACTTTTTAATAACCCAAATAAATGTCTCGTAATAAAATCGGACACAGGCTACATACTGTACCATTGTAAGTGTGAACTATGTGTAAATGATAATAATTCTAACTATGAGTACTGTGCATGCATACTTATGACATGTACTCATAGTTAGAATTATGATAACTCATAATTCTAATTGTGACTACTGTACATGTATACTTATGACACTTTCCGTCTACTTGCGACTACTACTATCCGACAGAAAATAATGTAAATACAGTTTCATTTATTCAATGATTCACAAGCGAATAATTATGTTACAGTAATATTCCGAGGGTGAAAAGATGAACATGCCTTTGTAATATTGATATTTATAATAATTAGGGTAAATTAATTAGTTAAGAAAGCATGTGGGGCAAGGCTCAGCTGTAACTAACTTTTTTAAGAATACAAAATTAATTTTCAAAAATTTTTAATTTAAAGAGTACGAAAAATTAGGAAAAATAAAAAATTTAAGCATTCCTATATTAATAATAAACTTCCTGTATTTATTTGATATTTAAAAAAAATTTACCGATAAATTTATTAACATTTGTTTATTGATTATCTCTCTTTTTTTCCCTCTCAAATCATGTTCTAATTATTTAGGATTTTCGTTTAAATTTCTATCAAAATATAAATTTTAAATGAAATATGGCTTGCCATGAATAAAACCACAAACGAGAATATCCAACAACCCAGCCATATCCTTCCAAAATCGAGAGGTTAGTGGTAGGAGAAGAAGGTGATCCTTGGACGCTCACCCCCCCCCCTGGGATGCTCTCTCTCGAAACTAGGGGTGAAACAGAGCTTTTGCCAACGACAGGCGCATTTGATGCCTTGCCACGATGAATGTCGTGGGCTTGTACTGATCTTTGTCAGGCAAGTGAGACTAATAATAACAACAACAAATGGCTGTGGATGCATAATCATTTAAAATTATGCCAAAATTACAGAGTTCTGGAACTATTCCCTTACTTAGGCTCAACTCTAATTTAACAAATCGAACAGCAAGTCTTCGTTATAGCGTAGGCCTATGGGCCCATATATTAAGGGGCCTCAATGCCGTAACCCTTCATGACACTGCTTCGCGAAGAATAAGAGAAAGGGACATTGATGGCCTATTAAAGGATACTCCATTTATGACACTTGACCCTCTATTAGCGCCTTGGCGAAAATTATTCTGCGTGATTCTGGACAACGCTCAGATGTCTTTTGCACTACGCCGGCTTTAGTGAAGTACAGTAATAACGTGCATTAGAGCATCTCCAAAAATTTTCTACATTTATCGGATCATTTGCAGTGCCAAAAATCATTAATTATACTAAATTGTTGTGAGCTGCATTATAAATAAGATTGTTTTAGATTGATTGAAAAACAGAAATAATGAGCATTAGTTTACAAAAGCTTCAAAAATGTAGAAACTTAAAGAATACGTGTAAAATCCTCATTGAAAAATACAAACGTGGTGACCGGTAATGGATGAACAGATCAGTGGTTTGCAAGGCGAATATTTTAACTACCACTTATCTAATTCTATATTTAACCCTTAAAGGTTTTCGCCTAGCTCTTCAGCCAACGCTTCACTTATTTATTTCAATTTTTAATTTCGATGATGTGAAGGTAATCATAATTTTATTACAAATTTATTCCATAAATAAAATGCCTCGGTCCTTGGGAAGCAGCACTGTGCCAGTCGCTACGTTCAGGTGACACTGGACACTGGTCGTGTAAGAATTTTCTTTCCTCTTCTCACTATGCAAGAGGGGGATAACTAGTTTTTCACAAAGAATCCAGGAGGGGTGCTGTTTTAGGCCTCAAGGGTGTTGACTTATTTGTCAGTTGATGTGAAAAGTCGACAAGGCTGTCTATAGAAAACATTGAAATTAAACTAATTACCCTTTATCTAGCCTCCAGATGATAGGCCATCTGTTGGTTACTCGCACGCAAGCTGTAAAGAGTCTTTGAAGTTAAGAAAAGATTAAAACTTCATGTCCACTAGCTTTTCCATAGATAGAGAAGTAGCTTAACAGAATAGCAAGAAAAAGAGCAAATTTTTGGACAGCCTTCTGTTGGTTAATATTTAAAAGCAGGGGAGATAACTTCTTTGGGAGGGCTGCAATTGCACTTCCCCGCACCCCGCTGTCTACGCCCATTGCCATAGCTCCAGCCGTCACAGAAATAGACCTTGGAAAGAAATTACTGACAGTTTAAACTCCGTGAACAAATCATAAAAGGTGTTGTTTGCCTGAAAATAAGAAATCCAGGAAAAGATTATAATGTTAATGATTATGCATAGAAACAGAAAGCATCAGCAGCCTGAAAGAATACTTTTATTTTGTGTACCCCTTGAGGGATCAGAAAGAGAAATAACAGAAGTGAGACGATAGCAACTTTTGTTGCAGTGTGCTATGTAATTACTTTTGGTCTCAATAGAGTGCAAAAATTTCATAAATAATTAATCAAACACAGAATGATTTCTGCTTCTTTGAATGAGGGGAGAATATCCAAAGATGTTAAAATAGTATTTGTATTATTGCTAAAAGTAATCAGACAAAATGTCTCGGACTCGGAGTTTAATAATCACACGTCTTTAAAAAACACCTCGGAATGCAGTTGGTTAACTACAAAAAATATCTGCAGGAATATTTAAATGGAAATATAAGGTAATCTTCTGTGCTACCACGGCGTTACAGGCAGAAACGTCTAGCTGCCAAATAGGATATCCGTGGTTCGAGTATCGGCCAGGGCCTTGCTGATTTTTCACTTCAAAGCAGGGCTGCATTAAGCATAAGCATACGCATAGGATACCGAAAAATTTTCTGTTATCGTTTTACCATGAAATGAATGATGCAGATAAACCAAAACCGAGAGAGAGAGAAGGAATGAGGGAAAAACTGGAGTAATCATACTTGAGGGCACCAAAATCTTTTAAGTGCTTAGGGTTCTAAATGTCTTAATTCGGACCTGCTTTAAAAAAATAATAATAATAAATAACTTAAAGGCTCTACAAAGGTAGAAACTAAAAGTTTTTAAAACGAAACCTCATGCAAAGAACAATACAGCCTGTACTTTCTATCAGGGATAAAATACTGATGATGCTTTGTGGTTTCGACTGCTTGACCAGGGGTGGCCCTTTAAATTTATCTGAATCCAAAGATAACAAAAAAAAATCTGAATGCTTTCAGATTTTATATTATGTTCAAAAAGGGCGTTTTCTCCATTTACAGGCAAATACAAGTTTCGAGGGTATAGGCTAATATCCCTTTGGACTAAAAATATAAAAACAGCATATATTTGAATTTCCGATAGACAGTCTCGTGCTCTGGAGATAAAATATTTTTTTCCATACAGTGTTGCCATTGCTCGCTTTGAGATCCTTGAGTTTGTTAATCAAAAATTGGTTTTAAAGTTTTACAGAATATGAAATAGACAATAAAACAATTCCAGCTGCTCATGTTTGGGTGGAGGACTAGGTTATTCAGAATTAGATGGCTCTAGGTACCTTTTTTTTTACAGTACTCGAAACATAAAACATTCAGGCAGATTCTTCATTAAATTTCTTTCAATACACTACAGGGCGATAATATTTGGTGGCAACAATTTAAAATGTGATAGAACGCTTTTAGTGATTTAATGCAAAATGCGGTTTCGAGATTAGTAGTCTTTCTGGGCTAACGGCCCTTTGGGTTAAAAAGCAAAAAAAGAGAAAAAATGTCTTAAGTAAATGAAATTTTGCGAAAATTTTAAAAATAGTTTTCAGTCTTTTATACTTTTTATTTTAATTTATTTATTTCTCCCATCCTAAATTTCATTCCCTAAATTTTCCGAATATTTAGCAATCTCTGTTCCTCTATTGGTTGTTAACAGATTGCAGAATTTGAGATTTCTTTGACCTTATATTGAAATTAAAAGAATCATTATATTTCGAGGGGAGGGGAAAAAAAAAAAAAAAAAAAAAAAGACCGGGATTTTTTTTTTCCAGCAAAAATATAGGCAGAGCCATTTCTTTTTCGAAATGCAATAAATGCAATTCATTACATATTAACACCAAGTAACTTTTGAATTGCGTTGGGAGGAAAGGAAACGCTTAATGAGTTCGAAGTTAAATCGGAATGGAACCAC